TCAAATAGTTTTACAAAAACACAAAGTTGATTCATAGTTAAATGATGACTGTATCATTCCTTGGTAATTTAAGTTGAAATCTGTTATGGAAGAAAATTATTTACAAGTTTCCATAATTTCAAATAACACCTCCACAAAATAATATGAATCACTCGTCTTTTTACATTTACAAATGATCATTGAATTTATAATTAATCCGGTTAATAAATTTTGGTCCAAAAGTAGAAAAGTCGATTACCTTGATATGTAGAAGAGAATCTTTCAAAATGTCACAGAGCAGTTGCGTTGTTACATGAACAGTTTTGGCGGCAGGGCTAAAGTTTTGCGACTCACGAAGTATTACAACATGCAGAGAAAGTTGTCTGGCGAAATCACACCCACATGTGCCCAATACTCTAGAATAACCCACACAGCTTATACGGACCGTTCAATTGAAAGGACTGTATACATTTAAGCTCTTTGAAACAACAACGATGACGTCATTATTGACATATCACACACTACCAAGACAAAACGAAAATAAATTTTAAAGCGTAATTTCTAGGCTTTGTACAAAGACCAACATTTTGTTTTTAAATGAATAATTAAAACTGCTTCGACCTTTATCAATTGTAGATATTATTTTTATGACGTGATAACTTATAATAATGACGGGACGTTAACCGACATGGCATAATGTTACGTGTAGACACGTATGCGATGCAACCTTGCGCGATGGCGGGCCATGATTGCGACGCCAGGCCGACCATGACACTGACGTTGTATATGATAACACTAGCTCGTGTGCGAACTATTGTTGAATTTCTAGTAAGACCGACGCGTTCGGGACTGGCTGTTTGCCCTCCGAGTGTGAGTACTTTGATAACCGTTACCTGGTCACCGCTACGCCGGCGTCGCTTCGCATGCCACCGATCTGGCACCGTGGAAAATATTACATTCAAAAAGTTAAATACTTGGAACAAGAGCTATTCTCTTTTCATAGAACCGAGGTCCACTTAAGTTCGACTGTATCCGGGAATGAACATTTAAATATGTTTCACAGTGTACCAATACCTTCATGCTTATATTTTTACATATATTTTTTTGCGTGCTTAGGTTAACAAGCTCACGGTCCGCTTGGTCTGAAATTACCGGATAAAATATCGTAAAACCAATACAATAAAGTAATCTTTTAGTTTTGTCTGTCAATACGTAATAATATAAAACAGAAATGCCAATGATTTTTAACGTATAATTAGTGGAATGCCTAATTAAACGTTAATCATTTGTTTATTAAAATACAATGGAAAAATTCTGCGCTGACTTAAAAGCAAACTAAAAACTCTCTGGTCGATTCTATCGTGACCGTTCGGTTCTCGAGGTCTCGCTCTCCTCTCTCTTGGCTATTTACTGCATCAGTCACGTGCGTGACACTCGTTATTTTAAACAACCTACGGTACACAGAAAGTGTCGGCAAAAAGACAGTATTTTTTTGAAACTTTGTGATCATTTTTCACTTAAGTTTAAATGCAGCTTTAAGATTTTTTTAAATTTTTCTTTTTATTGCTTAGATTTGTGGACGAGCTCACAGCCCACCTGGTGCTAAGTGGTTACTAGAGCCCATAAACATCTACAACGTAAATGCACCACTCACCTTGAGATATAAGTTCTAAGGCCTCAGTATAGTTACAACGGCTACCCCACCCTTCAGACCGAAACGCACTACTGCTTCACGGCAGAAATAGGCAGGGTGGTGGTACCGACCGGTGTGGACTTACAAGAGGTCCTAACTCCAGTAGATTGATTTCGTCTTTTCCGAGAGTCTTAACGGTGTATGGATTCAAATAATATTGTAGTAACTACGTCCTGTTATAAGTTTGTGACCCGCCCTGCTACCGTTAGTTCCGCAAATTTTAAAATTTTGCTACTTTCATTTGAATCACACTATAGTGTAGCGTTTTTTTTATATTAGATTAAGAACTCTTTTCTTCTTAACAAGACATTTTAAGGAATAAATATAAAATGACAGCATTGTAAAAATACATTATATTTTTATGTACGGTTTTTGTGTAATGGTTAAAGATATTATGTTTGTCTGTTTGGGATATTACAAGGGGCTATCGGGGAGGGAATATGTAGTTCCATAATAATATTACAGAAATTACAAAAATAGCATTTCTTTCTCGTGAAAGCAAGTTATGTTGGATACGTTTTTTTTAAAATGGGAACCTATTAGTGCAATTACAAACCGGCATAGTTTTTTTTTATGTTTGAGAAGTTACTGGTGGCCCGGAGGCCTTACCAGTTTTACCAGGGAAGGTAGGCGAGAAAAGGCTCAGCCAGGAGAACTGGCATAGTATTTTCACTTGATACGAACACATCAGGTATCTTATCTATCAGGCCATGGCTATTTCTTCAATATGCAGAAATGATAGAAAGTGTAATAAATATAAAAATAATAAAAAAGCAGGATTCCTAAAAACGATGTTCCAAACTAATATTCCCTGTATAGGTACCAGAGATATACATACCCAAAAAAAAAATCGCTAATAAATTAATAACGTCATTATCTCCGCTTCTTCTATTTTGTAGTTTTATGGTGGAATCTATCGGTGTACAGGAGAAACTTGCCAAAATTTCAACTGTACCAGCAATAACTTTAATATATTTTGATTTTTTCTTCAGAAATAATTGTAACTGTATAAACGCGCTAAAGTAGGGAGCGATCTGATATGAAAAAAAAAGCGATTTAAATTAGAGCAAGAGTTATCAGACTTTACATCAATGCAACGCACAAAGTCCGCGCGTTGATGTCTAATACAGGGAACATTATTACAGCTTCGACGGTGCTCCCATTACATCAAACAATTTAATAATTTCAAATTTAAATAAAATTAGTTATACGCCGTGAGATTAGATAATGCTTGTTGGACGTAAAATACTTTTAGCAGATATTTTTATAGACTAGTTTTCTAGTAGTAAGGATAAGTTCGCAAGTCCGTTTGTCATACAGCCGTTCAGTCTTTGTGGACCGTTAAACTATCAGGATATAATAAATGGTATTTGAGGGTAATTAAAACTGAACATCATGTCCCAAAGTTGCTGCCATCACCATAGCTGTCTATAGGCTCTAGTAACCACTTAATACCAGGTGGGCTGTGAAATCGTCCACCAATGTAAGCAATAAAAAAAAAGTTGTCAACTAGACCACAAAAAATGTTCATTGAGAGTAAAGCAAATGTTTTTGCATAAAGCATCTTGTTTGAGTTTTATCTACGTAAAAAAACTTTTAAAATTATTGGAATCTCCACGAATACTAGAACCAATTCTGTTATTTATCTTCGTATTTCTTTCTCTTTTACACTCGTTGTAGAGAGTTAGCTATAGAGTTCTTCGCCACGGTCTGACTATTCAGACTGACTGACCAGATAAATGAAATACACACAATTAATGAATTTTGGTTTTCCACCACCAGCCTGGGTAGTAAAACCTTCCCCGAAGTCCCGTCAACTGTACAAAATTTTAGCATAATCTGCTCCGTAGACACATAGAGTTCAAGTATAGCATAGTATTTATATATTTAAGAAAACAAATGAAATATATGACATTATATTTTGAGCATTGTATTTATATAGAAAATTAAATATTAAAATCTAGCTATCATGTGTTTAGGATTTACACCTTTATTTACATTACAATATTATTTTAAACCTTTCTACTAGATTCAATATGTCATAATATGGTGTCTCTACAAAAGCGGTATTTGTAAGCAGATCTAGTGACTGGTTAATACGTCAGTTTATTGTATTATAGAAATCAGCAATTACCATCCAGACATTTTTTACTGTACAATTGGCTGAACAATTTCTCTGCCCACATGATTTAAATGGCTACTGGATCCCATAGACACCACAACGTGAACCCCCACCTTGAGGCTTGGGATTGAATTCTCAAATGCATTGTATTTTATAAACGCTTCAAACCGGAACGTATAACTGCTTCGTGGTAGGAACAGGAAGGACAGTGTCTATTAGCACGGGCTCACAAATACGGCGTACAGATATTTTCTTACTTTATTTCGAAGTTTAATTATATGGATATGAATTACCAGTGATGGCAATTGTGAAGGGAGTAAAAGTTGTTTCTTTATTGTTGAAACCTTCACAAAGCTTTAAAGCATAAAGCCCTTACGACTACGATAAAATAAAAATATTTCCAATCTTTACTTTACTTTTTCGAGTCGTTTAGTATTTATTGTTGCTGTTATATTCTTTTCAATTGAACATCGACGCCGACGCTGCCCCTTCGTACAATCGAATTGTAGAGCTATTACTACGATTGTATTTTTTCAATAGACATACAAAAATAGATGTGGTCGTAATTGGTGATGAGAAAAAAAACGAAAGGCACTTATTGAACCCCGAGTCGGTGCGACTGCACTCTCGAGCATGAGTTGTTAATAACCACACAGAAGCTGCGTTTTTATGCTGTAGAAATGAATTCATCAGCACGTATGTATGTATGTACATATATCAACATCAACAATCGGTACAGCGTTCGATATTTTAATGATGGTAAACAATATTTATTCATATGGATTATATTGGTATCAACGAGCAAGGTTAAGTACATTACTTTGTGTTGTAAGGAATTGTGATTATCTTATATTTTCAAGAACTCCATTTATGTAACAGTAAATGTGAATTGCAAAACATTAAGATCGATTATAGTATTGTGGTTTTGCAATAATGTAATCCACGAAAATTCACGTTTATTTCATTATGGCCAATGGTAAAACTGGTTTTGTTTCAATTGTTCTTGGCGTTTTAGTTTTTGGTATAGATCGGACAGGGCTTGCAAAAGCTTTCGACCGACGGGAAACACGTCCGAGGGTGAAGATGTGGCGGAGCGAGGGGCGCGAGAAGTCAGGCGGGTAGGGGAGGGGGGAGGTGCGGGGCGCTGCACTGCGCAACCTGCGCGGCCGCCGCCAAAGCCTGCGACTACGCGTTCAGTCATTGTCCGACCAACATTTCGGTCGCACACCCAACGTCGACCGGCTTTGTCGCTACCACAGTTGTCGTTCGAGTGTCCGCTGAACGAACGGTGAACTCTGATCTTTGGAGTATAGGTGTAGTGTTGACTGATAGTGTGTTTTTAGCCATACAATTGCAAGTGTATTGCTAACAAGTATTACTATCGACGGTGTGTGGCGAATTCCTCGGAATTACCTAACGGCTGTTCGCCTGACAGCGAGGGAAGGCGGATCGTCGTTGCTATCGGGAGGAATGAGCCCCGTACATTACCGTTCCCGCACTCACCGATGATCTCAAGGTTGGTATTTCCTCAGCTATCGCTCCGCTTGTCTTCTGTCGTGTAGAGTGCAGTTGCACAACGACAACTATACACGACTTGACCCCACGATTGCGCTCGCATTTTACGTACACCTTGTTCTGATCTCATTACATTCATTTTCACTGACCAATACTGGCCAACCGTTCACTTCCTTCTGTGCTGCAAAATTAACTTAAAATTGAATTATCGTCAATGGAATATTCTAATTAGATTTTAAGTTATAACCTATTTCAAGTTTTCCCGTAGATTTTGCTGACTATTTTTAATATAATACTATAATAATATACTATGTAATATTATCTTGTATTAAAATACTGTATAGAACAGATCAGTAATCCATAAAGGAAACATTTCACGATTAGCCTGATAGTTGTGTTATAAATTATAATTGTGAATGTCTATATCCTGTTTGACAGGGTCTACAAGACAAGCATTATAAAGCCAAGAAAATATTCTTTAAGCATCTAACGGTATACTGAAAGCAATATTTATTGACGGTAGCTTTATTAAGCTTGATTTGTGGAAAATTAAATATATACAAAGTTCTGAACTACTAAAAATTTTAGTTCTCATGAAGTTATCGATTTCGTATTCACCGGTCATCGAGTCCTAAAAAAGATGGTTTAAGTACTGGAAAAGGAAATTTTAGTTAGTCATCAGATCGAAAGTCATGTCGGACAAAAAGTAGCCGGTTACGAAGCAGTTCTCAGTATGAAAAGGAGGGGTTATGTAAGTTATGAGCTGGACCAGTTTATGTTTTGTTAAAATTAATTTATACAAAATACATGTAGCTCGTGCACATACTTTTGCGTGTATCGATATTGCAAATTTTCTAGTCTTGACATCCCTAATTTGTAGCATGTGATGTCATTTTGTACTAGATTAAAAAGATACAATTAGTTGAAGATAGTTCTTCCCATTTGTTTCCATGTTAATAATCGCGACCCTTTTTTTCTGTTTGTTGACTGTCTCTCTTTATGAGTAGACCTTCGATAGAACTCGATTATAGTTAGATGCTTATTATTCTGTTAGCATGTGAAAAACAAGAAAATCTCCAATTATGATGGCGGTAAAGTTTTTATAAGCGATGACCTTAAATTAAAACAAACGAAAACGTATAGGAAACATTATGAAACGTATTGTTACAATTTTGTTACCTATATCTATTTTATCATATAAACATGCTATGATATATTCCTTATTAAATCATATGAGCGATTTATGCCTTGACGAATTGTTATTTCAGGAGCCGATTTATTCGTGACTTTATTTAAAAAAAAATGTTCCGTGACAGGTGCTCCGGCCGTTATTCGATTAGAGTAATGGTTTGAGGCCAGAGAACTCGATATAAAAGCTTAAAAGCGTTTTGTTGTTGTAAAAATTTAGATTTCATTTGTCACTGAAATAAATGTAGGTATTTTGTAGCGTGTGTTCCATAGGGAGTGCTCTGAGGAATTGTTCGAGGTGATACCTTCATCTCGTTTTTACCATCGCACCGCCTGCGACCGGAGTAGAGTTCATCCATACTACCTAGAGCCACTGCGGCCATCCACACTGAGTTTCCAGAGGTCTTTTTTGCCACTTAATATCCGGCTATGGAATGAGCTCCCCTCCACGGTGTTTCCCGAGCGCTATGACATGTCCTTCTTCAAACGAGGCTTGTGGAGAGTATTAAGCGGAAGGGAGCGGCTTGGCTCTGCCCCTGGCATTGCTGAAGTCCATGGGCGACGATAATCACTTACCATCAGGTGGGCCATATGCTCGTCTGCCTACAAGGGCAATAAAAAATGTATCTATGTTTTCTACTTTTTTTAAATGATCTTTGAAAGCAGATGTGTCTACTGCTAATGGATCGCAACTAGTCACTGTCGCTTAAGGACGTTGACAAGCATAAGGTCACCGCCGAGTTACTACCAAGTAATTCTAGTATTATATTATCGTGTTAGACGGCATGCGCTCAGCAAACAAGGGGAGTTCCTTACAGAGCGAGGTGATAAATGGCAAACATTATTTCTAGAACTATTGATAGAATAGGAGGTTCCTTGAACTACGGATCAGCGCTTAGATAAATATTGAAAGTAAATAAATTTCAAAATACACTGCTTCGATAAAAAATATTGAAATGCTAACTCTTATGAGCATTGTTTTTAAGGGAAAATCATAATGCCGATTAGGATGCCGATAAATTAACAAAATTTATGTTCGAAAGCGTCCAGTTAAAAGTTGAAATTTATTACGGTGTTAAAATTTTCTCGGTATTAAATATAAACAACTGAGTTTACAGGTGACTATTATACATTTACAGAATATGTTACAGTCCTAGTTTTGTTGTAATTTTGCTCGGAGGTTACAATAATAAATACACTTTGATGCTACTCGTAAAGAGAATATTAGCAAATATGTACAAAATCGTGGACAAATCACATATGATCATCTAACCCCAAACAAGAATTCTCTTTATTCTGGGAATCGGAGACTGATATTCATACATATATAGCTTTAAATGTGTATATGCATTTATAGATATTAAGCGCCCAGAAACTAAGCAAGCCTCTTTCTCATACGAATATTACTCCCAAGTGAGAATCTAAACTATGCCTCTTGGACCAGCAGTCAAGGGCATTAACCACTGTGCTACCAAGTCAGTCAAATCTAAGCTATATTTTATAAGCAATCATAAAAAGTTATCTGCTAGAGCTGCTAGATCGATGGTCATCTTAAACACATTCCTGAAAAAAAAGAAAAAAAACACACAACAAAAATTAGTCTAAAATATTTAAAAACCAATTTGAATAAAAAAATACATTTCATAGAATATTAACATAGTAACCAAACGTTAGCTCCGTATTTGTGAAACCAGGACAGGCAGTAATTACACGATAAACATTTGAAACCAGCGAAACGTCAGCCAAGGCAGTTCATTTGTAAGATTGTATTGTAGCTTTACTCAAACGAGTAGGTGTTCGAATATCTACAAAACGATAAGTGTGTGGGCAAAACTAATATATATTCAGACACCAATTGCTCAAGTAACGTTACATAGTTGAGGCGCTAAAATCACTGCGACACAAATGACGTGGTCGTTAGCCTTGGTTATTCTTTACTGTATTTGAATATTTAGTTGGAAATGTCACATTATTCTATATAGTCTAGTATTTAACGTGTTTGGAAACAATTCAATTGTTTCGATTTATGTGCTTCGTTAAAATGTAGGTAATTAGTAAAATAGTTGCTATGGTAGTTAATGTCTTGGAATTCTATTGGAATTGGAATATGCCAATGATATGAGAAAGCTTTCGAAGAGAATTATTTTCTTTGAAAACCTCTTTTTTCCTATAATATTATTCGGATGGGTTAATGTATAGTAGCCATTTTAAATTATAGTATACAAAGTTGGAAGCTCTCTTGTGTAATATAAATCCAAGTTAAAAATACATTGATACACTGTTATGTGTTTTTGTGTCACTTTTGGCTTCAGATGTTCACTGACGTAATCGAATAAATTGTACACCAATCTTTGTTCATTAGCAAATTCGAATTACTATGTAGCGTTTATGTGTTGATTATTGTTAACCAGACTTACTTTAGCATGAGTTGAAGAGACTGCACCCAACCGTGGCGGTAGTACCAAGGCCCCTTTGTTCTTAATGCAATCTATTCCCACACAGTATTTATTGTGAACAATGTACAGAGGAGTTTTTTTTACCGTTTCGAAATATACGCGATTCTTTAATTTACGTTCATTCGCACAGCGTACGTCCTGTAATAAAATATACAATTAGGTTGAGGCAACATAGACTTCATAAAGTAGACGGTGAAAGTGATGCACTCAATGTTTGCAAATTATGATTTAAAGTATCACTAAAATGATGCTACAGAATTGCAAAATTTAAATACCAATAGCAATATGTAGCTGCTTTGTTCTGCTATTTGCAGTTTTATTGTGTGGTTTTTGTTTTACAGGTAAATACGAATCCGTATAAATACGTTTCAAGTTGTTTTATATTTTATAATAATGAAATTTTATCGATAACGCCATGTTTGTTTAATCCAGGTAGTAAGACGTACCCTCGCACTCACACCTGTCGATTTCTTATTAGTCACTAATCCTCATATACTAAGTACGAGTATAAATTATTCATTTGTCATTTAAGCATCTATCACACGACAGATGTCAACTTACGTAGTTTTCAATGAAGTAACTATTATTGAAAGATATAAATTTTTAATGATAGGGCAAAATAATTAACGGCTCAATGTGTGTAGGTATGCGTAAATGTCTCCGGTTTTAGTAAAGTCTCAGTTTTCAAGCTAGTTGATTCTCGTTAATTTGACGAATGCGGTGCTCGTGCATGGTTCAACAGAAGTAAATAAAAAAAAAACGAATATGGTTAAAAGCGTCGTTTTTTCTCTGTACACGGACATCGTGCCCGTTCTACTTGTTCCCTCGAGTCAACATTTACATTAAGGATTATTTAATATTCGTGACACACCACCAGCACTCGGCGGTCGCGACGGTTAGTCGCCGTCACCGGAACTTGGTGCTGCATAAGCCACTGGCTCCTTCCACTTTAGTAAATGCTGCCATTGCCATATTTTGTTAGAAATTTCTTTGTTATAAATGCCGTTGGCTATCACTGCAAGGCGAATTATTTGTATTAAGGTGATGTCAGCAATTAAACAAAAAAATTTAAGAAAAATTTATATTTCTTTGGTACTTATTTAACTGTTAACGTAAAAGAAACGCTCGAGTGCTCCAGTGAATGTGCATATTCTCAGGCGAAGCATTATTCAAATGGCAACATTGTGAATTTCTTACCGTTGATTTGTACAGTATTTCAATTCAGTCAGTAGAACTGCATGTAGATGAATGTCTCATGTGAGCTAATGTTCAATACAATAGCACTATATAAATCCGCTATTATTGTTGAAACAGTTGGATTGTACCGCTAACATTACTACTGGTCCCGTTCTCAATG